GAGTGCACAAGCTTGAATGGCAGAGCTGGGGGGCTGGGGGTAGCCCCCACTTATTACAAAAATGACATCTTATTTTCCCTTAATTTGAGTTCTTTCCTGAGGAAAAATAGATATTAGCTTCCCCCCCCCCCCCCCCCCCCCCCCATCCTTTAAAAAGTACTCCATCATCATTGATGACACCTAAGAAAATAAAGGATAAGCAAAGGGTAGTGTTAGCCAGAAAGAGAGGAGGAAAAAGGAACTAATAAAACAATTACTGAATTTGATTTTCCCATTTATATTGTACTGATCAAGGCCTCGCACAATCCAATCTGGTATCCTGCAAAACGGCCCTCAGAAGTAGGCTGTGAGTCACCCCCTCATCTTGTAAGTCCGTGGTCAGCCAGTAGACTGTAATTTAAGTCATAAACAAACAATATAGAATTGTGTGTATTTTTATACTCAGGAGAATGTACTTGCAGTACATAATTAATAACTATAATACATCTTACCAGATTATATATGTTGTCAGATAAAACAGGTACTTCAAAAAAGGTTGGTGAGGATTTTGTGCTGACAATATAGTTATGTATGATCTATAATCCATAATATACATTTTGTCAGCACAAAACCTTTGCTTAGATCGCTTATTCACTGTGATGATCAACACTCTAACATTCTTACACCACAGTTCTATCCATTCAATATTCACACTTATTACATATAGTAGCTTGATGAGCCCAACAAAAATGACTGCTCGCCAACAGGATTGGCTTCATAGCTCAGTTGGTAGAGCATCGCACCGGCATCACGGAGGTCATGGGTTCGATTCCCGTTGAAGCCTGTTGAAATCATTTTTTCAGGTCTTTCTTTACAGCGTTCACTTAGATCGCTTATTCACCTTGATGATCAACACTCTAACAGCATACATTACGGGCTTGGTATTGCACAACATGAAACAAATCCTCAATCACCTCAATTTTTTGAAATAGATGTATATCTTACTATCTTACTTAGAAGGCAGCATGGTCGAGTGGTCATAGCATCGGTCTCGCAAGACTCTGAGACTGTATTTGTCCTGGTTTCGGATTTATTCAAATTCAGTTTCTCGACCATGCTTGTAAATAGCCCCGGGGGGAGGGGGGGTACTCCGCCAGAATTAGGGTAGGGGTGTTCCGCTGGGATTCTGAAAGGGGTACCCTGTTTATAACAAAAGATATACTGTAACTAATTGCACTGAGTTCCCGTTTCAATTATCATGTCATCTCGCGTATTGTTTTTTTATGACCATAATGACCAGTTTCGGTCAATACAAAAGTAGAAACCCTGAATATGACAACAAACTCAGGAAGAACTTGGACCTTGAGTGAAATTGCATACCCTGTTTATG